AATCTGTGATTTTGAGCTTTAAATACGCAATACTTCGATGCGACAAAATGTTTTCACTGATATTCGGTGTGTCAAACTTATTGGAAGGTACACATGTGAAAGTGCGGTCGAATGATGTGTTACAGCATTGAAAAGGCAAGTTTCACTTACTTTTGCTTTAGTGATTTCAAAATTATTTTGGACGTGGTTGTTTCGGTAAAAACACATATCTTGCCACACGAGTAGCTTTGTACTCACTTCTAATATTCTTTTTTATCTACATGTTCGTGTTAATGAAGAGAAAATGAGGAATGAACTGAACGGATATTTTCGTCCGGTCCGAAAAACCTCTGCCAAACTAAAGAATATTTGGTCATTCTATAAGCCGCGTGGTTCTTGGTTATGTTGTGGTATGGCCTAAAAAATGAACACAAAAAACCTGGGAAGAAATGGCGCGTTCAAGAAAAAACTGAATGTAAAGGGTGTGGCAACTATAGTTGCCACAATGTCCATTGCGGCGTGCAAAACGCGGCAAACCTAGTTGCCGCGCTGTCGTCAAGGTGTTAAAACTACCGCGGGTAGCGGCCAGCCGAATAAATGGAAAAAATGATTCGAAAAAGATTGGTATCCTTCTGAGCTCGCATCGATTAGTTAACTCTAGTGAAAGATCGCTATTCACCTCATAATACATACTCAACACGCCTTCTTCGCCCCCAGCAGCCCCATGGAAACACGCCCCGCCATTTGAGGTACCCTGTTCCGCTACTGCAAATCGCCTCTAACCTCTACATGCGTTAGGCCCCCCACCCCCCTGCTGCAGTTTCCCCCCCGGGCCATACGTCACCCACCTGACCGGCCCTGTCGTTCGAACGCTCGTACTTCTTGCGCCCACCCTGGACCCACACCTTTTCCTCCTCAATACAAGAGACCATCTTGTCCCCAGTCCTAACAGCCCCCATCTCCTGACCACACCCATTCGCCCATGGGGATCCCCTTCAAACCTAAATTCCTCCCCCAAAAAGTAAAAGACACCAATCAACTCCGGCTCCTCCTCGACCCCAGTATTTCCTGCCAGTATGTGCAATATTGATTGGCTTTTACCTCACGAGATTCGTCTCCTTATTTGAAGTGTGCGGTACTTAATAAGTAAGTCATGCAATCTCTCCAACGAGTTCAAGTGGCATAGATACTAACCGCCTGTGAATAGACCGTGCTAGTCCACTCTCTATCAAGAGAAGTTTGAACACTTATAAGTGATCTATAAACTGAAACAGGAGAAAAGAGACGCAACGCTTCGGCACCAACACGAATGATTTAAATATACCGAACCATGGACGACTGTGAAAAACTGGAAAACTGAGAAGAGAGAAAGAGAGAGATCGAGAGAGACAGAGAGGATTGGGAGGGGAATACTTCTCTAATGTTCTGACCCCAATAAAACTTTTTCGGACATATGTATTCACGGATGAAATAGATCATTCTATTGTATGTAATAGAAAGTCGAATAGAGTCAAATAGCGGTCAGAAGAAATTTGAGGAATCCCAACTAACCTCATTTCATTGAAATTGCTTGTGCTGGAAAATTTGAAGGACGACAGTGGGGATCGTTTTAAAAGAAGCCAGAGGGAGCAAATCACATCAAAATGTTGTCTAGCTGTCTCTTTAATGTGACTCTCCAATTCAACCAACTTTGAAGGACTCAATTATCTTCCCAAGCTACTACATCGAATAACGTAGCTCATTTTCGCCATTTCATAAACGCGAGAAAGCGTCACGTGACAGACCCCATCACCCCCACGTGCGACGGCCCGTCAACCAAATAATAATTGATCCGCACGAAAAATGATTGACCATGTTGCAGCTGTATTCTGTGTGTTCACTAATTACTGCTATCATTTACCAACTATCAGCTACCACTATGAACCACTACTAACCAGATTTACTCGGAAGCCGCCGTCACTTGTGGTGTATGGTCTGCACCCGACACTTTCTCGCTTTTTGAATGACAGGGACGTCCGCGCAGTCTAGCTACCTAGAATTCGAACACGCCTTGTTGAGGACAACAATTCATTTCACTTTCCGGCATACCGTTATTTATTGAAGCTCTGCACATGCCCCAATAAGGCCTTCCTTGTGTATGAAACATGAAAGGGTAAATTAAACGCCAAATCGAGTCATGTGAATGCTTTACGAAGCCGTCGAGCCACTGTTAGCCGATGAAGATAAGATGCGCAGATACAGCCGCAACCGACTCGTTTCAAACGCTCCTTTTGATCTACATAAATACAACTTCAAGGTTGTGGCCAGCGATCATCGAAGCTATTGGGGAACGGCAATGAAACACCAGACTTTTGTCTCAGATTCATATGCATGAAAAATTTGTAAACTGAATAACACATTCCAATTTATCGAAAACTTCGCGACAGCCCCTTACCCCGACGACACCAGACGATTTCCAGACGCTAAATCTCAGATAGCGAAGGTGGCTACCGCGGCCAACAGTGCACCCAATACCGCCTGCGCGGAAGCGGCTAGATTATTATTATTATTTATTATTTATTTTCAGTTATGCATTGCTTTACAAGGACAATATCACAAAACATATACCAAACTGAAGAGCTTGCCGGTAATAACGATAAAACAAAAGTATGACTGTCTGAGGTAACAAAACAGACGAGATGGCAAGAATCTCCTCACCGAAGAGCTCACATGCCCTTTCAGGTAACGCAAGATGTTCTGAATTGAGCTGTACTTCTAGGCAGAATGAATTTTTTAGACAATTTTGTAAACTCGGTAGCTGCTCTTGGAGCGAAGAACTTGGCCCTAATATTCGTCCTAGGTCGTGCAAACAAAAAGCTTATCCTTCTCTCCTCTTGTATTGGTGTCGAATTGGTAAAGAACAAATTCCTGAATAAAAACCTATTTTCCTGTGAGTATCCTAAAAACAGTAATTAGATCAAACATCTTTCTCCTGTATGAGAGAGAGTCAATACCCAGCATTTTGTTTCTGATAATACTTTGGCTTATCGTTGTAATTGAATCCCGAGAACAAAAAAAAGCTTGAGTTAAAATTTTCGGCGAGTAAAACTGTCTGTACTGATCAATTCCTACATGTTCTTTAGAAATGCGGACAAAAAAAGCTAGGCGACAGCCTTTTGCCCCGACGACGTCAGAAGATTTTCCTTCGGCAACACGGTGCACGGTACGAGTCAAGGAGGATTGTCGACCATTACGACATCATCTGAGACGCTGGCCGTCGTTCCTTGTGTTGTGGCCTGCACCCAACCCGCATCTGGTTTCCGTAGGAAAGTGCTACTTATGCACAACACGATCATTTTTTGACTCCTGGTGAACTCTATGAATTGAAAGCATTTATCGAGTAAGGTAAATAAACAGGTACAATGAATGTCATAAATAATTGCAAAGAAAAATTGAACACTAGAAGACAGAAATAGAGGAATCGCGTAACTGTTCTCGAATACGATACTTTTGAATTTTGGTGTGTATTCGTGGGAAGTCATTGACGAACGCGAAGAGATCAGGCACGGGAAACTGAAAACAATAAGATAAGGACAAAATTACATCTCAGCAATTATTATTAGCAGTTCAAATTCATGGACCGATATCCGCTGATCACATGGTCATTGCATTATACTACTACGCTAACACGATGCTGGGTTCGGCCATACTCTTTAAAAAATTTTTTTTTTTTTTTTTTTTTTTTTTTTTTTTTTTTTTTTTTTTTTTTTTTTTTTTTTTTTTTTTTCTTTTTTTTTTTTTTTTTTTTTTTTTTTTTTTTTTTTTTTTTTTCTTTTTTTTTTTTTTTTTTTTTTTTTTTTTTTTTTTTTTTTTTTTTTTTTTTTTCTTTTTTTTTTTTTTTTTTTTTTTTTTCTTTTTTTTTTTTTTTTTTTTTTTTTTTTTTTTTTTTTTTTTTTTTTTTTTTTTTTTTTTTTTTTTTTTTTTTTTTTTTTTTTTTTTTTTTTTTTTTTTTTTTTTTTTTTTTTTTTTTTTTTTTTTTTTTTTTTTTTTTTTTTTTTTTTTTTTTTTTTTTTTTTTTTTTTTTTTTTTTTTTTTTTTTTTTTTTTTTTTTTTTTTTCTTTTTTTTTTTTTTTTTTTTTTTTTTTTTTTTTTTTTTTTTTTTTTTTTTTTTTTTTTTTTTTTTTTCTTTTTTTTTTTTTTTTTTTTTTTTTTTTTTTTTTTTTTTTTTTTTTTTTTTTTTTTTTTTTTTTTTTTTTTTTTTTTTTTTTTTTTTTTTTTTTTTTTTTTTTTTTTTTTTTTTTTTTTTTTTTTTTTTTTTTTTTTTTTTTTTCTTTTTTTTTTTTTTTTTTTTTTTTTTTTTTTTTTTTTTTTTTTTTTTTTTTTTTTTTTTTTTTTTTTTTTTTTTTTTTTTTTTTTTTTTTTTTTTTTTTTTTTTTTTTTTTTTTTTTTTTTTTTTTTTTTTTTTTTTTTTTTTTTTTTTTTTTTTTTTTTTTTTTTTTTTTTTTTTTTTTTTTTTTTTTTTTTTTTTTTTTTTCTTTTTTTTTTTTTTTTTTTTTTTTTTTTTTTTTTTTTTTTTTTTTTTTTTTTTTTTTTTTTTTTTTTTTTTTTTTTTTTTTTTTTTTTTTTTTTTTTTTTTTTTTTTTTTTTTTTTTTTCTTTTCTTTTTTTTTTTTTTTTTCTTTTTTTTTTTTTTTCTTTTTTTTTTTTTTTTTTTTTTCTTTTTTTTTTTTTTTTTTTTTTTTTTTTTTTTTTTTTTTTTTTTTTTTTTTTTTTTTTTTTTTTTTTTTCTTTTTTTTTTTTTTTTTTTTTTTTTTTTTTTTTTTTTTTTTTTTTTTTTTTTTTTTTTTTTTCTTTTTAATTATAAAAAAAAAAAAAAAAACAACCCTCAACAATATTTTTTCAAGAAGTGTAAGCCGGGATATTTGAGACCCACCCCGCACGTTCTTCTTTGAAGGCCACATTCACGCGCCACCCCATATCCACCTAGAATTTGTTTATTGACTCTAATGCGCTTTGGTTTGTTTCTTGAGCGCGTCGTGTTTTTTAAGCAAATGAAAAATAAATATGTTCCGCAAGTTTGTTGGGGAGTTCACGTTTGTATATGCATCTCTGCGAGATTAAAGGAGGATTCCACGACAAGGACTAATGGTAAGATCGAAGAAGGGAAACACCTAATAGACAGGACAGATCTGCCTCAGGGTGCCAACCAACGCTCGAAGCTGCCTTCTAATGATATGCCTTCAGTGATCTAGCACGCCCTTCCCCGTGGCACCATTGGTGCACTGTTGACGCGGTACGCCCCACCCTCTCGCTATCTGAGGCTTTAGCCGTCTGGCAGAGAGAGCGCCAGCGTGAAGAGAGCAGCATCGATAGAGTTCATCAATGCGAGAAAGCGCACGGCCACAAAGCGATCTCATTTCACGCTTCTAGGCCGTTTTCCTTGACTTTTTCTTCGTTCCTGCAACACCAGACCATCTCTTACTTAATTTCCAATCGGCCGCCTTGTCATCGTAAATCCGCTTCCAAACAAAACAATTCAATGTTTTCATGCCTTGTGACTGTGATATGTAGCTTCGCTGACCCCTGCTACTCAGCATCTCCATGACCATACACCTACCTGAAAGGGCCCAAAACTGAGCCTCAATAGCTAGGATCAAATGAGATGGTGAAAAGAAGCACATGTGAATTACCTTGTGTTTCCTACACATTGCAGCGAGTTCAGATCGAACGTGAGCGACGTTGGATTGGGTATTCCGCAACACACAGACCGCTGTCACTGGCTGGCCACGGCCAACTGACACCACCTGAATCGGACTTTCCTAACAAATATCTAGGAACAAATAAATTAAAGAAGGGAACATACTCTCCAATACCTGAAAGACATTCAGCAAAGCAGATAGCAGAGTTAAATTCACAAACCTGCACTCCCTTGATCAAGTCGTTCTGATTCAGCAACCTTTCAATATTCCAATGTTCGACGAGACCATTATTATTCGTCGTAAGAGATCTTCCTTGTTAGTTACAATTTTCAAAATTAACTTCCTCCGTCCATCCACCGCAGCCCACATCTCTACAAAGCAGTTACAAATCGATCAGGTCAAACCTTTTTTCGCCAATGTATGTCACGCGATGAATTCGACAAGCCCGCGCTTGCCTCGTCTCCAGACTGAGCGAAAAAAGTGTTTTGATGGTCTCATTATTTAGTTGATTGCTTGTTGAGTAAAGGACGCGAAGATTAATCAATGGGAAAGTTGGGTAACTGATAAAAGAATGTTCAAAGCCCTCCCCGGATGAATTTGGGTACACGCAATCAATAATGTGGGCCCTATTGTGATAAGTTTTATTGAAAAAAAACCAACATAGAATTCGTCGATGAAACGCCCTGACAGGAAATTTCCCCTTGCTTAAGGGAGGGCGGAGCCCAAAAGTTGTACAACGATAGACACGAACATACAGTCACCTTTGTAAGCCTTAGCGCCATTTTGGCAAACTTTTATGTCGCGAAAACTGCACATTTGTGACTGGTGCGCCATACCCTACACAGTAATTCGGTTTTATTTTTCTATTTTTTATTTTTCAGTTTTTCGACACCTTCTGCTGGGTATCTTCCACTATGAGGTGAACATAAGGCTAAAGCCTCAAAAGAAAAAACAACCGTGCACTCACAGCGAATTAAATGGTGCGTGGTTAAACTACGAGGCGAGCGATATAGTCAGCCGCGAACCCCCGCTACACACAGCCCCACTGGAGGTGTCCAAAATTGCACGTAGAGCGAGAGCGTCTTCAAATGATCCTAGTAGGTCGCAGTACCTAATCTCTTGCGCCTAAATACCCCGCGCTTTTACCTCATTCCCAGTGGGACTACCTTCTGGCCAATCTATTTATCACCTATAAAAATGGGAATTTGTGGAACGTACCCTGTCTCCACCCACTTTCTCCTTTCCGCTCGTATCAGGGGCGTATCCCATAAATGTGCTGCCGTAATATACTCGAATTAGCAGCAGTCCCAATTGTCCCGGCTTCACTTCACCGTCTCCATTCAGCGGTTTCAGGTGTGTCTAAAATAATGACCGTATCAGTTGAAGTATCGAAATTATCAGCAGATTTATCATACCTCATAGCCAGCAATCGCTCTGCCTACCATACGTGTGAAATCAGTGGTTGCATCGCCCATAATCGGAATGGATCCCGTTTCCGTCAGCATGTAGCCTACCTAAACGTCCCTTTTTGGGAAAATCAGGATATTGGAAAAAAATTGAAAAAAAATTAAAATTACTGAAATTATGGAATAAAAAATAATAAATAAAATGACAACATTTTTAAATAATTAAATTAAAATACCAAGTATTGAAAATATTACAAAACTTAAAACACCAAGTATTAAAACTTAGTAACAATTTGAAAAATAACGTTCTCTGTGCGGCGGGAGCATTTGAAATACTTGAAGGAATCTCAAGTGTGCTTATTTACCGCAATTATTTTCACGTTGTCAGCTTGCTTCTGAATGCTGCGCAAAGCCTCTTTTGAGACACGGTCACCGAGTAGAAGGATTTGCTCGATGCTGTCGAGCTTTACCCTTTGAGTCTCACTGATCTTCAGAAGTAGACGCAGTGCGGCACCATTCGTCAGCAACGTTGAACACCTAAACTTGGAACTCAGATCTCTTTTGGACAGGTTTCATATATTATAGTTTTCCTGCTAACCGTCCTAAGAGAATTTTACCGGAAAAAGGCGTACACTGAAATGTAGCTCAAGAGCAAAACCCTTTCTTGGACAGCATATTATCGAGAATTCGATAATATGTTGTCTTCTTCTTTGTGTTGCTATCTGTTCTCCCCTGACTTTGAGGAGTTTGTTTCGTTCTGATTGTTCTTCGGAGTGCCTTAGTGGCGCTCGTTCGGCAAAAGGGGCCTATGTGGCTCGAGAAGGAGGAGCTGAGTGCTCAACCCGGGAGAGCTTGTGTGGCTGACTTGAGAGAGCCTGTGTGACTTATCTGGGAGAGCCTTTGTGGCTGAGAGAGAGGGGCCTAGTGGCTTTGAGAAGAGAGCGAGCCTGTGTGGCTCGAGGTTTAAGAAGAGGGAACCTTCACCCGTGGCTGGATTTCCAGGGGAGTCGCGCCGTGCACACTACAATGCCCGCCTGTTTGGTGTCCCCACGTCAACCCGCCTCCGCCACCACTATCATCCGTCATTTGTGTTGTTGTTGTTTTATCGCTTATCTGAATAAATTTTGATTATTCACTCGTTCTCCTACATCGCGAAGGT